TTCACCAGCGGCAGCATGGTGGGGTGGTTGGTGGGAGCGCCTCATTAGACTTGTGAAAGAGTTATTGAGAAAACAATTGGAAAGAGCAAGTTTGACTTATGAAGAACTTTTTTCAGTTGTATGCGAGTGTGAAGCAGTGATGAACGTAAGACCTTTGACTTACCTTCCAGAGAATAATTATGATCTGCTGCCATTAACAGCGTCGATATTCATGCAGGATATCAAAGAAACTGGAACTGATTTGGACAAAATAAATGCTGATTCTACAAGAAGACACTGGAAATATTTGCAGAAGTTGAGAGAAATATTGAGGAGGAGATTCAGAAACGAATATCTGAGCCAGCTAATATTATTCAATAATAGAAAACAAATTCGAGAAGTGAAAGTAGGTGATTTAGTTCTCATTGAAAACGAAGATTTGAAGAGACTCGATTGGCCTTTGGGTATTATTGAGAAGTTATTAGTAGGGAAGGATGGCACGATTAGACTAGTGAGATTAAGAACTTCGAATGGACACTTGATGCGACCAATTCAACGATTGTATCCTTTAGAGTTGGATATTCAAGAAGATGAGCTTTTGAAACTTGAATTCAGAAGTGACAGAAAAGAAGGGGAAAGAGAAAAGAAAGTTCAGACGAGAGTTGAACCTACAGAAACCCCAACAGACTGACCTATTGATATTTTCAAATTAGAGTTTTGAGTCTTGTTCCATTTTGACTCAAAAGGTGGGAGTGTATTGAAAATCGTCGAGATTTCATGAAATTTTGGAGTTTGGAGCACCCAGCATACGCTGTTTTGTGTTCTGATTTATAAAAATAAATGAAACATGATTTGTCAGATTTTGATATAAGAATTGTCAGATTGAAAGTTTTTGAGATTTTCTGCATTTTCGAAAAGTTATTAGAGTCTTTGTGAAGAGTTTATTCCATTTGTATCCTTTTCGATACGTATTCTTCACCGGGTAGGTGCTGTTTTACGAATTTTTATAATACCCTGAATCAGGAAGTTTATACTATAATTACAAAGTGACAAACAGCATTGTTTTAATGGCTGTTGTAGATCATAAATATTGCTTCAGTTATATAGCCATTGGGTGTAATGGAAGGGTTTCTGATGGAGGCGTATTTCGTAACTGTAGTTTGTACCAAGAATTAGAAAACGGTGTTCTACCAGAGGGTCATGTCCTAGTTGGCGACAATGCATTTCCCCTGAGAGAATATTTATTTAAAACCTTTTCCAGGAAATCGATCAACATTAACGCAAAAAAAAATTTTATTATCGTTTATCTCGGGCTCGAAGAATAGTCGAAAATGCCTTCAGTATATTAGCTGCCAGATTCA